ATATGTAGAGCTAATGGATTTAGATATTTTTGAAGAAGAGGAGGAAGAGGAAGGTGTTATTGAAGAAGTTGAGGAACAAGGTGTTATTGATGAAGAGGATGAACAAGATGAAAATGAAGATAACAATGGTGTTTTATATATATATTTTAATTTTAATTATTGATATTTTTAGTTCTGTAGGAAACCTACCTATATGAATATGAATGTTATACCTACAATTTAATTAATTTGAAATATTATTTTTGTACCAGGTCAACTGGCAATTATCCAGCGTCAGCGAGCTGACACATTTATAGTTTTACCTGGTGTTAGGTTAAATTCTATTGTAATTATGGATAACCTGAATTATAAATATTACAAAAATGGTGCGAGAAACAATAAAACGTAAGTAAGGCTGATATTTAGTAAGCTAACAGATGTTATAAACACAGATTATACGTTTAAATAAATAATTTATGCAATTTAAATGATTCATGTCTACTTATTTTATAATATAATATAATTTTTAAATTATTTTATTTCTATGTAGATATTTGGTTTGTGAAAATCAAAAAAATGTTGCTGCACATTGTCCATCAACAGCTTGGGTCAGGACTACCGATATACCAAAAGGAAATGGTGATATAATTGTTCGGGTTCAACACAACCATTTACCTCCAAAAGTTGACGTTCCAATGGTGCACTTAAAAAGGTCAATTGGTCTGGCTGGAACAAGTACCGGCAATTTGGCTACTTCCATTAGACAAATTTATAACCGGGAAGTTGTGTTGTAAGTATTCTAGATTAACATTAAATATTTTTAAAGTTTTAAGGTAATTTTAGTAATTATTAGCATAAATAAGATTAAAGTTATAATTGTACCAACCTTCATTATCTTAGAAATCCAGAAGGTGCAAAAAACTACACGCATTTACAATCCCGGGTTTGTCTAAATAAAATGCGACGACGTCGTCGTCAAAAAAATCCAACTACTATTGATCATCTAGCAGATATCTTAAATGAACCAACCACACCAACTTCATATACTTCCACCTTGCAGCGCCCTTCTTCAAGGTTCATAAAATATATTTAAAATATTTGTAATTTTATTTATTATTTACTTTATATTATATATCAATTTATTTAGATTTTTTCAGCATGGTTATCCATTAATAGTAGATAGAGAACGAGTTGGTGTGGTATTTGCTAATAAAGATGCAATAGAAAAGTGTAGAGGAGAACTACTCCAATCGATTACTATAGCAGGAGTAGATGGGACTTTCAAAACAGTACCAAGGAATCCTCCTGATTTACAAAAAGGCTGCCTGCTGACTTTTCATATAGTTTTCAGAAATGTGGTAAGTTATTTTTTTTTAGCTATTAATTGTATGTACAATTAATATGATTTTTTTTTACCCAGTCTTTTCCAATGGTATAT